GCTTAATAAAAATATAGCATATTTTTATGTTTAAAAATTTATGAAACATTTTTTCAAAAAAAAGAATAATCAAATATTATATAATATGATTATAAAGTAAAGTTATATTATATATTACTGTTAGCAATTTAATCCGTTTTTCGTACTTACAAATAAGTTTACCTGATTTAAGTGCCATGCTTATATTGTTCAAAAAGTATCCAATTGTACTACAGGTATATTATACACGTATACATATTTACACGTACGTATTTACACACGTACTTATTTATGCTCTCATAAGATTTGATTAAAGTTTCCTGTTGTATCTAATCTATTATTACATTATGTAAAGAACGATAGCAATATAGCATAGCATATATAAAATTGTTTACTATATCTGTTTGAATGAATGTCATACTTTATCATAAAAATTTCAAAAATTTATCTTATTAATTACATATAGAAATATCAAACATAAAAAGAAGAAAAAAGAGAGAAGCTTGATACATTTTTTTATGACATATATTTATAATTACATGTGACGATAAATAATAATGTTGAACATTATTTTACATTCCAAAAATTCCAAAAATAATTTTGAGTGTGTAATTGTGCGTTTCTTTTTTGTTTTTAACATTATGTATGTAATTAAAAATGTATGCTTACTTATAATTCGAGTTTTTAACATTATTAACATGCATAAATAATTGCATTGTACTATTCGATTTAAAAATAGATTATATTGAATTAAAATTAGATTAAAACTATTGAAAGTTGTGTTGCGCGTATAATTCAAACAAAGAAATAAATATTCTTAAAAGAGATGGGATTAAAAAATTTACTTTTATTAAAATTTAATTAAAAATAAAAATCCTTATATTATCCAAATTTTTATCAATAATTCCATTCAATCAACTATTAAGTATAAGTACTCGAATTGAAAAAAGTGCATATGTTTTTAACATTGCATTTTCAATAGGTGCCTAAATATTTAATTATATTATATTATCTTATATAAATTTAAAAGAAAAAAAAAAAAACATTCTGAGAATTGATCAAAAGTAATTAAAATATATTTTACTTGTCAAATAATTTTCAATAAATTTCAAATTGAACATAGATGAATGTCACGGCATAATTTTATTAGTTTCGTTTCGATTAAACGATATCATTCTGATAATAATAGAAGAATATCAATTATGTAATTTTATTGTTCTCAGATTGTTTTAATTTGCGCAACATTTTATATATAGATCATTTAATTTCATCATGTATATAACTCAACTTATTTTTATTTTAATAATTTACACTTCATTCCGATGCCTTTGATACATACATATACAAAACAAAATTGATATTTAATATATATGTCCAAATATCATTTGTTAAAAACAAGTTTTCAATTTTGACTGCTTGTACAGAACAGTTATGAAGTGTTTGTACAAAACGTTGAAACATACATATAATAGGTTTAATATATATATTCGATTGAACGATGATATTGACGGAATGAATACTCTGTATCAGAATTATTGCAAGAAACATGTGTATAAATATTATAAATACAAATGTAAGTTAAATGTAATTACTTCATAACAAACTATTAACTACTTACTCGAATGTGGTGGTACACATTTAGTATTTACGCATATTTCCATTCTAGTCCGATTGATATTATGATAATTTAGTATTTAGATTATGTGTTTACCTCGTATGAATGACGAGACATAATCGATTTATGTATAGCAAATAGTTTCTTTCATTTTTTAAATGAATAAGTCAAAAACAAGAGAATTGTGTAGCTAAACACACACGTTATCAACGAATAAAAATATTGAAACTGTATTATAACATTTTGAAAAACATACAAATAAGAAATAGATAAATATAAAACTAAAAAAAATTTTATAATTAATATTCTTAAATATTTAGGTTTTAAATTATAAATTGTTTGCTTCGAAAAATATAAATTAAAATAACGAACGAAAGATTTAAAACATACGTATAATTGTACGTATGATTTGATTCTAGCTAATATTTTTTTGTGGAAAACGAGTAAATATAGTTGTAAAAGTCTCTTTGTGACTTGTTGTGAATTTGAAAAAATTATAAAACTCTTCACTAGTGTTATATTGCATAGACGAATTTTAAATTATTATATCGGATTATATTAGGCTAATTATACAATTCTATTTCTAATTCAATCAATGTAAATAACAGTCATTTACTTCGAACGACATCTCAAGAAAAAATAAAATTTAAAGCATTGAAGGTGCAAAAATTTTTGGTAACTAATTAAAAAATTTAATCAAAATTTACTATATATTGTAAGCAAATAAAGACAAAAAATTGATTTATTAATTATTATTGTTTTGTTATTTATATTTTAATTTAATTAATAAAATCTTTATATATTTCTTTTTTTCAGAAAGAATTCAATTTTATCCAAATTATTTTAGATATTGAACGCTGCTAACAGTCAAAAGTATATAATTATGGTATTATAAACATATGAATGTAATTGTTTAGTTACTGTCACTTGACAGTTTAATTTTGTTTTAATTCGTGTTATCTTAATTTCAATTTTTGTTCAATTTCTGTTCAATGTGTTTATCATGGTTTCCGGAAACGATTGTTTGCACGATGAAACAGAATCTTCAAATATAACATCTTTGCAGACAGATTCTAGTTGCAAAACTAATACCAATATCAATCAATCTTCACATGAATCTGTCTGTCAAAAAGATTCATGTAATAATAATTTTCAACAATTTAATTGTGGGTAAATCAGGTATATAATAATTTAAATATATATATATATAATTTGGATATAAATATTATATTTATTAAGTTAAAGACTGTAAATGTCGAGAGATACATTCAATTATACATGGAATATCTTCGGAAGAAATCGATCCTGTAGTAGTGGAATCGTACAATAATGATCTACTGAAAGATAAAAATTTGATAGATCAGACGCTATGTCAATGTCACGCTCGTAAGATGTAATACAAATACTTCCATTCTATGTAACAATTATTAATTGACTATTTTTTTTATTTTCTAGCAGAGCTTATACTTTACCTGTGAAGTACAAGAATGGTAAAAACTTCAATATTATTTAAATTATTTTACACTATCACTAAATTATTATTATTATTATTATTATTATTTGGTTTTTGTTTCATATTTAAAAATTTTATAAATTTTTAATTTATTTTAATTATGCTATAATTTTAATTATGAAAATCCAAATAGATTACCGATTTTCTTTTTATAACTTTTAACTTATAATTTTAATTTAAAGATCTTTCAGAAGTACGAAGACCATTTTGGTGCCCTTTTAAATGGAAGTGGCCAAAAAGAGAAATAGAAAGAAAAAATAAAACATACGAAGTGAAATTAACACCAAAAAAATGTCCTCATTACACGGAGGTAGACTGCAATATATATTATATACATATTAATAAAATAATATTGTTTTATTTTTCCTTGTATTATTAAGTACGAACATTAAATATAAAAGATGTACAAACAATTATTATACTTGATGCATAGTTAACAATGAACTTCGTTTAGCCCATTATGTGTTGTGAAATAATGGAAGGGATACCACATAAAAAAAAAACTGTTCCTGAACTAGAGAAAGTAAAAACTCATGAAGAGAAAAAAAAAAAAGAAGTAGTAACAGAGAAAATTGACATCTATTACTTTGATCATGGGAACTCTGCGTAGGTATAACTAAATATTTCAATAGTTATCTTTTTATCACTTATGATTTTTATTATGCAGGCATTTGCTCTTACATAATCATTCAGCTTCTTGTCACGTAACAACAAAAAAAAAATACAAACTTTTAATGATTTTTAAATGATCATAATTAAACTTAACGATTTAAAAGTTTTAATTTCTTATATTCTATACCAAAACATTATTGTTAAAAATATTAAAAAAAAAAAAAAAAAAAAAAAAAAAAACAACAAAAAAAAAATTTTTTTTTTTTTTTTTTTTACAAAAAAAAATTTTTTTAAAAAAAAAAAAAAAAAAAAAAACCACAAAAAAAAAATTTTTTTTTTTTTTTTTTTTACAAAAAAAAATTTTTTTAAAAAAAAAAAAAAAAAAAAAAACCACAAAAAAAAAATTTTTTTTTTTTTTTTTTTTACAAAAAAAAATTTTTTTAAAAAAAAAAAAAAAAAAAAAAAAAAAGAATCACAAAAAAACAAATTTTTTTTTTTTATTCATATGTATATATCATTCTAAAAAAATTTATATAACTCGGAAAATATGTTAATTATATTACAATTATGTTCGTTAACGTAACATCTTTTACAATTTTTACAGATATTATCGAACAACGGATTCACCGCCCGTATTAATAACCGAAAAATGTGCCGAAAGAACCGATCAAGCAGCGATTCGTTTTTGGGCCGAAATATTTGGGACTATTCATATCGGCACTGCTTTCATCACAGCATTTATTTTACAATTAATTCGATTTATACTTTATAGTATAATCAGACCACTGACAGTGGGCATTTTGCAATTGTTTGCGGACTATTTTATAAAACCCCTATTGTCAATTGTGTTCAATGCCCTCATACAGCCTGTATTGATATTGTTATACAATATCGCAACATCTTTCAAGGATCTTTGTGAACCTATCGCAGAAGCGATAGGATTGTTCTTACGAGAAATCGCTCACGTGTGTGCGGCAATTCGAATCGTCGAAGTGAAACAGGGTACCGCTCCCTCGGTTGCTTGCACTTGATGATTGAAATAGAAGAAGAGAGCAATTCTGAATGACGAATATGAAATATACTTTGTTTTAAGGGAATAAGGTACAAAACTCATAATATTTTGCGATTCGTAAAAAAATAGCACCATGTAAGTGTTGACTTAAGTTACTTCAAAATAACTGTTATCCAAGTTATTTTAACTTCACACCCCTACCTTGTACTATACTCTGTTTTATTGTTTAAGGTTCAAAAGGTGAAAGAAAAAACGATTTATTACATCTATGTGATTGATTCTATCTTGATTTTGATTTTATGAAAAAAATTGAAGTAAAAACTGAATTATGATTAAATAGAGTGAATCAGTTTTAACCCTTTAAGGTCTAAGTATGTTAACTAAGTACAGGCCTTTAATAGATATAGTTACTTAGAACATCCACCACGAGGCCATTTTTTATAACATATTTATTTCTCTGAATATATATACGATATTCAAAATACTAAGTCTCAAAGGGTTAACAAAGAACTAAATTCTTCTATTCGATATACTTATAAAAAAGAACTTAATACAAAGTGTGCGTATGAAAAGTATCTTTCTTTTACTAAATCACAAATTTTATCCGTTGTTCTTCTGTAGATGATGATAAATTATCTCGATCATCAATTTGAAAAGGCATTGTCCCAGGATAGAATGATGTGAACTGAAGAAAAATTTGAAAATAGCTCGGTAATAGCTGTTCAAGTTTTAACGAATATAACACATGCCTTAACACCAGGTATATATTTGGTATTAT